GGAAAATGAAGAACACCATGGACACAAGGAAAGTAAAAGCCCAAGAGACAGAAAGGGCCATGTAAACCAGAAACTCCATCAGCCTGCGACCAGAAGAACTAGATGGTGCCTGGCTACCACAATGACAGCCCTGACAGAGAATACAACAGAGAGTCCCTGATGGAGCAGGAGAAAAGTCGGGTACAGAACTCAAATTCTAGTAAAAAGACCAGACTTAATGGTTTGATTGAGACTAAAGGGACCCTGGAAGACACGGCCCCTGGACTTCCTGTTAGCCCAAAACTAAAACTATTCCCGAGGCCAACTCTTCAGACAAAGATTAGACTGGACTATGGGACATAAAATGATACTCGTGAAGAGTGTACTTCTTAGCTCAGGTAGATTCAAGAAACTAAATGGGCAGCTCCCATCCAGAGGTGAGATGAGAAGGCAGAGAGGGTCAGGAGCGGGTTGAATGGATATGGGAAATCTGGGGTGGGAAAGAAGAATGTGTTGTCACAGTACAAGAAGAGCAACTAGTGTCACAAAACAATGTATATATAAATTTTTGTATGGGAGACTAACTTGAATTGTAAACTTTCACTTAAAGCACAACAATTAAAAATAAAAAATGTGTTCCAATATTTTTTTCTCATCAAAATTTTTTATATTATACTCATATAAAAGTTTACTCATTAAAGTTTTAAACATACAAGAACTACAGGATTATTCCCATGAGTCCAAAAATGATCTAAAAATCTACACCCAATGGATTAGCAGAGTGTATTGAATTTCACTTCTAGACAAAACTAAAACCAATATGAGCAGTAGGGTGACAGAAGAGAATGTAAATGGTATATGCCTTGAGAATATTTAAATAATATATTCAATACACTTATTGTTGTTGTTCTTTGCCATTGAGTCGATTCCAACTCATGGCAACCTCATGTGTGCAGAGTAGAACAGCTCCATATGGTTTTCAAGGCTGTGATCTTTCAGAAGCAGATTTCCAGGTCTGTGTTCTGATCAACACACTTAGGGAGGGAAAAATGGAAAAAAAAAAAAAAAAAAAAAACTTATGAAATTTTCAAATTGGTATTATTTGTCTAGTAGTAAAATTCAATTGTTGTTGTTGTTAGGTGCCATTGAGTTAGTTCTGAGTCATAGCAACCCCAGGAAAAACAGAAGGAAGTACTGCCCAGTCCTCACAACCATTGCTATGTTTGAGCCCATTGTTGCAACCACTGTGTCAATCCATCTCATTGAGGGTCTTCTTTTTCTCTCTGACCCTCTACTTTACCAAGCATGATGTCCTTCTACAGACACTACTCCCTCTTGATAACATGTCCAAGTACGTGAGATAAAGTTCTCACCATTCTGGCTTCTAAGGAGCATTCTGGCTGTACTTCTTCCAAGACAGACTTGTCCGTTCTTCTGCAGTCCATGGTATATTCGATATTCCTTGCCAACAGCATAATTCAAATGCATCAATTCTTCTTCAGTCTTCCTTATTCATTGTCCAGGTTTCCCAGGCATATGAAGCAATTGAAAATACCATGGCTTGGGTCAAGAGCACCTTTTTCTTCAAAGTGACATCTTTGCTTTTTAACACTTTAAAGAGGTTTTTGCAGCAGATTTGCCTGATGCAACATGTCATTTGATTTCTTGACTGCTGCTTCCATGGGTGTTGATTGTGGATCCAAGTAAAATGAAATCCTTGACAACTTCAATCTTTTCTCCATTTATCATGATGTTGCTTATTGGTCCTATTGTGAGGATTTTTGTTTTCTTTATGTTGACACGTAATCCATACTGAAGGCTGTAGTCTTTGATCTTCATCAGTAAATGCTTCAAGTCCTGTTGGCTTTCAGCAAGCAAAGTTGTATCATCTGCATATTGCAGGTTGCAGTAAAATTCAGTATAACCTGCTAATCCTTTGGTTGTAGATTTTTAGATAATCTCTGAATTCATGGGAATAATATTCCTATAGTTCTTATATGTATAAAACTTTGATGACTATAACACCATTGGGGCACATTTTTAGAGTGTAAATATACTGAGTTCCAAAATTTTAATAGCTAAGGGTCAAAGTGGAAACCTGGGGGAACAGTGGTTAAGTGCTACGGCTGCTAACCAAAAAGTCAGCAGTTCAAATCCACCAACCACTCCTTGGAAACCTTATGGGGCAGTTCTACTCTGTCCTATAGGGTCGCTATGAGTCAGAATCAATTCGACAGCAACGAGTTTGGTTTTTTTGGAGGAGTCAAAATATGCTATTAAAATTAATAAACCAACAAAGATTGCCATAAGTATAATGAGAATACAAAGAGTAACATAAATAAAGTTGACATAATCAACTAAAAATAAAAACAAATAATAAGGGAGGGTGAAGGGAGAAGAATAAATATATTAACTTGATTACTGCTCATAATGAGAAATTTATGTATTCTCTCTAAAGAAATAAAGGATTATCATTATTACATAAATTTATTATTATACAGGTAAGCACTAGAACATATTGTTCCTCTCTCGGTAGAAATACACACACAAAAGAAGGCAAAGACAACAGTCAACATAGTGAAAGGTTTTTAAAAATCTACAAAAAGAAAGCATAGAATAAAATAATGTAATTAGGCCCAAACATATCTGTCATAGCAATAAATGTAAATGAACGAAATTATCCTATTAAAATAAAAATGCTTTCAGACTGGATTACAAAGTAAGGCTTACACTAAACAATGTATTCAAAAAAGCTTTTAAAAAGCAAATGCAAACAACAAGAAAACAGCGTTCATGATATTAATATGATACAAGGTTGAATTCAAGTTCAAAACCATTAAACAAGACAAAGAAATATGACTTGTAATAATAGAGTGTGGCATGACCCCAATACAATTATCACAAGATTTTATTTTCTAGTTGGATAAGCTCATTCTAAGGTTCAAATTGAAAAGCCAATTTCTTTTTCTTTTTTAAGAGTAATAAGAGGATAGAGCTCAGGCTGCTTACCAAAAGGTTGGCAGTTCGAATCCACCAGCCACTGCTTGGAAACCCTATGGGGCAGTTCTTTGTCCTATAGGGTCGCTATGAACCAGTATTGATTTGATTGGCAATGCTTTTTTTTTTTTTTCCCACTCCTTCCAAATAGTAAATAGTATATCCTAAAAACTCAATAGTTTAAACAGTGTGATACAGATGCCTCTATTCTTCTGGAATAGAGAAGAAAGTTCACAAATAAACTTAAATTTGTGTGAAAATTTAGTATTTGATAATGGCGCAAAACAAATCAGTGACGGGAAAGATGGAACATTCAACAGACATGTTAGCATACCTAGTTAACCATCTAGAAAAAAGAAAAAGTTGGGCATATACATCACTCCTTATACCAGAATACATTGAAAACAGTTCAAGGATTTAAATATAAGAAAGAAACTGGAAGAGAACTAGAAGAAACCATGGTAGAATTCTTTATTGACCTTGCAAGGAAGAAAAACTTTCAAACATTGACACAAAACCAAAAAGCATAGTAAAGATTCATAGATTTCAATGTCTCATAAACCTTCAAAACAAAGTGAAAAGAAAGATTGAAATTTGAGACAAATATTTGCAAGTCCACATCATAAAAAGCTGAAGTTCCTAATATATAAAAAGCTTCTACAAATGAGTATGATACCAAACCAATAGATTACCTTGGGTATAAGAGAGAATTCTCAGAAAAGGGAATACAAATAACTCTAAAACTACGAAAAGATCTCATTCTCCCTCATGATAAGAAAAATGCAAATTTAATCTACTCTGCAGCATCATCACTTTCAGTTTTGTAAAAATATAAAATTTAATCATGGGAGTATAAATTGGAACAAACTCTATTGAGGGCAATTTGTGATATCTATCAAAATTAGGTCACCACCTGTCAGTTTGTCATACTGTGGTGGCTTGTATGTTGCTATGATGCTGAAAACTATGCCTCAAGTATTTCAAATACGAGCAGGGTCACCCATGATGGACAGGTCACCGATGATGGAACTTCCAGACTAAGACAGACTACGAAGAAAGGCCTGAAGATCTACTTCTGAAAATTAGTCAATGAAAACCCTATGGATCACAGTAGAATATTATCCAATATAGTGCTAAAAGATGAGCCTCCTAGGTTGGAAGGCACTCAAAATACACACTGGCCACAACAATGGACTCAAGCATTGTGAAGATGGAGCAATCAGGCAATGTTTCAGTCTGTTGTATGTGAGGTTGTCATGAGTCAGAGCTGACTCAATGGAAACTAACAACCACAAAAATAACAACATCATCAAAATTAGGAATGACAAACCCTGTGAATCAGCAACTTCACTTCTAGATTTAGCCTAAAGATATTCTCACAAATGTACAACATGACGTATAACAAAGCTATTCATTGCAACATTGTTTGTAATAGCAAAGACAGGACACAACCTAAATACCCATTAACCCAACTGATTGGCCAAATAAAATATGGTGCATACAGACAGTAGAACATAAATACCCGTTAAAAAAAAATGAAGAGTTTTTTGAACAGGAATGATCTTCATTATATTTAAGTCACAAAAAATTGTGGAATGCTAGTAGAATTTGTTACTTTGTGTGTTATTTAAAAATACTAATAAAAGGAAAAAAGAAAGAAAGAAGAATGGGGCAGGCAAATATCAGTTTATATGTATAAAAATATCTCTGGAAATATTCCCAAGAAGCTCACATTGGCCACACATGGGGAAGAGAACCAGGAGGCTGGGAGACAGACAACGAAAGGATATTCTTACCTGTATACTCTTTTATGTAAATGTGAAGGAATTGCCTTTTTAAAAAATAAGAGGAAAGAAAAGAAGATAGAAATAATTTGCCTTCTAATAACATACTTGAAACTGTTCTGTCGTCCCCATTCTTTAATCTGTAGGTAAGTTTCTTACATTCTCTCCTTGCCAGATCAGCTCAGTGATAATCGGATCCATTTTCTGAGAACTTGACTCCACCACTCCCTGGGGATGCCTTCAAATGCCACCTGCTCTGATGAGTCTCCACTGCTGGATGGTGCCAGGGATAAGATCAGCGACACGGATGCTCACATGGGTGTCGAAGACTGTGGTGTTGGCAGAGCACAGTGGCATCTTCAACAGGAAGAAGGGACAGATATTCTTCAGAACTTAAAACTGGAGGTGGCCAATACATGGACTCAAGAAAGGGATTTTTTTTTATGTATTATTATTTGACAAAAATGTTCTGATCATAAATACTACAATTAAACCATTGTTATTGTTGTTAGTTGCTGTGGAGTCAATTTCTACTCATGGCAACCCGTTCAGAGTAGAATTGCTGTGACCTTTCAGAAGCAGATCTCCAGGCCTGTCTTCCAAGGCTTCTCTAACAACAAAACAAACCACTGCCTAGCAACCCTTATGACAGAGTAGAACTGCCCCACAGAGTTTCCAAGGAGCAGCTGGTGGATTCGAACTGCCAATCCAGGCACTCCAAATTAAGCAGTCTCTTTCTAGATTAAGAACTGGTAAAGTGAAAGAAAGAAAGAGAGGAAGGAGCCCTGGTGGGGCAAATGGTTAAGTGCTAGGCTGCTAACCGAAAATTGGCAATTCAACCCACCCAGCCACTCTGCAGGAGAGAGACCAGAAGATCTGCTTCTGGAAAGATTACAGCCAAGAAAACCTTATGGGGCAGTTCTACTTTTTCACATGCAGTCACTATGACTCAAAAACGACTGATGGCACCAAACAACAACAACGACAAAGTAAAAAATAGTAACAATTTAAAAGAAATCAAGAATCATTCAATCTAGCCCCACCTTCAGGTAAATGGTGAGTAAACTATATGGTTTTCTTTACTTATATTCTCCATGTCGTTCAAAGAAGAAATTAAGCGGTTTCAATAATGTATAAAATAATAAAATTTTAACTAAGTGGAGAGCCCTGGTGGTGCAGTGGTTAAGAGCTCAGCTGCTAACCAAAAGGTCTGCAGTTCGAATCCACCAGCTGCTCCTTGGAAACTCTATCGAGCAGTTCTACTCTGTCTTATAGTCGGAATCAACTCAACTCGACTCTCTATGAGTCGGAATAGACTCTATGGCAATGGGTTTGGTTTTTAGTTTGTTTTAACTAAGTCGGGAAGGGAAATTGGTCAAGTAGGAATCAAGGGTAAAGGGTGATATAGTTAGGAGTGCGGCCATGTCCCAAAAGGAATCCTGAAAGGTATTGTGCATTTGTAGACATGAGATATGAATTCAGGTCTTGGATTTTAAGAGTCCAGTGTAGAAGGAGATGATATTAACTATATAAAGTACAGTGCCAGTGAGTTTTAAAAAAAAAAAAAAAACACAATGGCTCAATAGATGCATGAGTACTCTTGATAATGACACCAGAGAGAAGTATTTCCACTAGATCCCCTTGCCATCAAGTCAATCCCAACTCACAGTGACCCTATAGTCATAGGACCTTGTAGGACAGAATAGAACTGTTCCATGGGGTTTCCAAGGCTGTAAATCTTTACAGAAGCATACTGCCACATCTTTCCTCCATGGAATGGCTCGTGAGTTTGAATGGCCGATTTTTGGTTAGCAGACAAGCGCTTAACCCCTGAGCAACCAGGGCTTCTAGGTCTTACTAACAGGGTCTCAATGTCCTTACGGCAAACACAGCCATGAGTTTATAATATTGTTTCTTTTAATGCATATTGATGGCATGCTGCCAAAACACAATTCAATTCAGTAAATGCAATTCAGCAAGGACCAAATGAAGCTGGCTTGACATTCAGGAACAGAAGAAAGAATTATTCTTCGGGTAATATTGTTCAGGTAATGCTTCATAAATTGGATTTCTCTCACTGAAGTTTTATGGAGTGCCCGTGAACTCAAAGTTATAAAGACACATCTAAAAGTGTTCTTCTGCAGCTGCCAATTAACATCAGAATCAAGTGGAGAAGAACTTGACATTTTCCAAAAGCTTAGAAACCAGGGGATAAGACAGCATGCTGAAAATGAGATCCCCACTTCCAAAAGCTGATGACCAGTCAGAGCAATGAGGGCAAGAGTCCCCTCAATGTTCAATCTAGTTCTGGAATGGCTCCCACTTAAATATGTAACCATGATGGCAAAGTTTTATGTGATAAGCCATAGCAACAATAATTTAAACCGTGAATTCCTTTAACCAAATATGACCAAATGCTTCCCTGGGCCATAAAAATGTATCAAGAAAATGTCTATGGAATGTTTAATCCTGAGCAATATAACTCCCTTTTGGAAATTCCAAGAGAGGCTAGTTGCAAACTGTATGCTTCAAAAGCTGAATGGTGGATCCACTAAAAGGGGAAGAGGTTCAGTTTGGGCCCATACGCCCAGAATAGTTCCTGGTATGTGGTAGGCACTCAATAAATGTTTGTTGAATGAACTTACTAGGTAATGCTGTTAGCCATAAGTCAGTTAAATATCAGGCAACTTCTACCAAAATGATGCTGATGTTGATGTCACAATGGTGGTTTGGTTAGCTCTGTATTGTCAATACATCAATACAAAGGCCAGTTGCCTATTCAGCTTCCTTGGGAACTTAGTTTCATGCCCATAGGTCATATCATCTGCAAAGCTCTGTACATTCTCTACCTACTATCCAGCAGCGTGTCCTGGACTCTAGGCAGAAAGAGGTCCTAGAGGAGGAAGAGGATCTTTCCTGGGCAGAACAAACTGTGAGCAACCCAGACCCACTACACCCTTCACCACTGATGAAGATTCCACGGCTGCCCTTTACAGCTTGTTTCAGGGTCACTGTACCCCAACAGTTAAGAAGTAATTTCTTATGTCCATAACAAACCACCTGCTTTAACTTAAGATTATCTCTTTCAGTAGCCAGATGGCAAGAAAAGCCACTGATCTCCAAATCCCTTAACAGCATTTGTATATTAAGAGTGCAATCAAATTACCCCTGAACCTTTTTCTATAATGTATTTTCTATTGTTTTCGTCATTTTCTGGATATTTTCCTCATAGTCTTGTTAAAGAGAACTACCTCTCAAGTGGACCCAGTCCTCAAGGTATTAATAAAAGCACTAAGTATGAGCAGGTTGTAATAAAGGAAGTGTCACAGCTCAACTCTCTCACAATAGCCTCAGGAAGAACTAGGGAAAAAAAACAAAAATCTTCAAAAAATCTGGAATGTGTGTCTTAGGCTGGGTTCTCTAGAGAAGCAAAACCAGTAAAGCATGTAAATATATACAGAGAGAGATTTATATCAAGGAAACAGCTCACGCAGTTGTAGAGGCTAGAACATCCCAAGTCTGTGGATCAGGGTAGAGGCCTCTCCCAATTCACACAGCCACAGAAGCTGGCGAACTCAAGGTCAGCAGGTCGGAGAGCAGGGCTTCCGCTCACAGGCTATGAAGGTTCACGAATTCCAAGATCAGCAGGCAAGACTGCAAGGTTTCTCCTGATTCACCTAGCTGCAGGGGCTGGTGAACCCAAGATCAGCAGGTCGGGGAGCAGGGCTCTTGCTCACAGGCTGTGAAGATCGAATACCAAGATCAACAGGTAAGCTGCTAGCTCAAGTCCCAAGAACCGGAGGTGAAACTACAAGAGGCAGTTGCTGGGCCCGGAACAAGCCAAAAACTTTGGCAAGGTGAGCAGGAAGGAAGTAGCCAGTGGAGGGCAGAGAGATGAAGGCTGAGGGGGCAGTAAGCTGCCACAGGCCCTGCCCCTGCTGGTACCACTCAGCAGATTCCATCATGGGGGTGATCACATATCAAATTTTAACAGGGAAGTGATCACAACATCATACAACTGCCAAAACACCGAGAATCATTGCCTAGCCAAGCTGACATACAATCTTAACCATCACAGAGTGTTTGCCATGGATGCAGGCTCTCTGAAGACAAATTCAACTCTGATTTATGGTCTTGGGTTGTGGTTAATGATGAGCTATATTTGGACATTGAGATACAAGAACAGTGTTTGGCGAGAGAGGTTTAGACACTTTTTGCACAAAGAAAAGGATAGAGATTGCAATGAAGATGAGTGGGACTAGTGCTGAACATGACCCAGGGTCTCTTCCTGCTGTTCAGTCTCCTGAAGTTTTATGGAGTACCCGTGAACTCAAAGTTATAAAGACACATCTAAAAGTGTTCTTCTGCAGCTGCCAATTAACATCAGAATCAAGTGGAAAAGAACTTGACATCTTCTAAAAGCTTAGAAACCAGGGGACAAGACAGCATGCTGAATATGAGATCCCCACTTCCACTAGGTCTCTGAGATGTCACCTTCACCTCCAGCGCCTCTGTGTGCACACGTGCTCATCTCTCCTCCCTCACACACACATGTACACACACACACACCATGACCACCACCACCTCCGTGAGGACAGAGGTCTTCTCTTCTGCTGCTGGTTCCGAGATGGATGTATCTGCAATTAACCCCTCCCCCACCTGAACTATCTCATAAGTAAGCACTCCCTTTGGGGCATTTCGTTTGGATTTTAACTACAGGCGATACCAGTAAAACCAAAGAGATTTTAAAAGATAAAATAATAAAGTGAAGGAATGTGTTTGAAAACATATAGTAACAGCTTTTCTGGTATTCACTGAAATGTTCCTAATTTCTTATTCTTTCTTTTATATTAAGTCATGCTTTAATTTTTCTCTTGAGAGCCAGTCCTACTCAGCCTTGTATATCTCATGTCTCCCTCTCTTTTCAATAGGTAAGTCCCAATATTAAGTCCTACATGCACCACTATTTCTAGCTCAGAACCTCATTTAGGAGATTTAATAGGCACAGAACAAAGGGCAACAAATTTCAAACAGCAGCCAACTAAGGTCTAAAAGATAAAAGACAAATATTCTACTTGCTCCACCCAGGGAAGTCATCTCTGAATTTCTTAGATGTCAACTGAGGGAACCTGGGAATCATTGTTGGCTTTGGCATGGCTACAGGGACCTAAAATCTCTGATGATTAATTAGTCTCTACCATAGATGAGAAGATACAAGGAAACTCAAGGGGTGCAGGTTTCCACAGAGATGGTATTTGCCTCCCACAGGACCTGACTTGAAAAAAGCAATGGCTATGTGTGTACAACTGTGCCAAGGGCTCTGAAAATTACTTCTGTATGGGATATGCTCCCTTTAATACAAAACTGAGTTGGCATTTTCTATGCATGCCAATGAAAAAATAACACATTAACCACAAATATTTTTATTAAATTCTATCCTGCTAGATCCAATAATCCATTTTTCTCCATTAAGTTAATGCAAGTGCATAAATTGTTTAGACCTTGGTATACAAGGATTATCATGTGTCCTTATCCTTGTTAGGAATGTGTTCTAACATTCAAGAGAAAAACCATTCAATCCATGAAGATTGTATCAGCTTTGTTGGTTAATGCTTTGAGCTAATAAATATGGGTTTCTCAGGTAGTAGCTAGCTGGGTAGGCTTTGGAATAAGACAGGCCAGATTCAAATCCTAGCCCTCCACTTAATGACCATGTAACTTGAAGCAAGTCATGCAATATAATCATCTAACCTTTAGTCTTCATCAATACAAGTATTGAGGGAGGGGAACAATATCTATCTCTCATGTTGTAAGAATTAAATGTAGTAATGGAATATATTGTATAGCATGGTGCTTGTATAGCTGTTGCTGTCAAATCGATTCTGACTCATGGTGATTCCGTGTGTTACAGAGTAGAATTGCTCCAAAAATCTCCAGGCATTTCTTCCGTGGTGCCACTGAGTGGGTTCAAACCACCAACGTTTAGGTTAGTGGTCAAGCACAAACAACTTGTCCCACCTAGGGACCTTTGGACTATATAATAAGAGTGCAATGATTGGCAACTATTATTACAGGAAATATTAGCTTTATGCACATAAATAATATTCCCTCTGACCAAACAACACCTGAGGAACTCAGAAATGTCTAGAATCCTGGCCAGGATCAACTGAAGTAAAATTGTGAAGTGTGTTAAGCTCGTATTTGATTCCTTCTCCAACTACCTTTGTCTCTAACCTCAATCGTCCCTATTAAAAATACACCCTCAAAAAATAAAAAACAAAAAAGAGAATTGGCAGGTGTGGTAATAAGTGTTGGTTTTAGGGTTACATAAACCTAGAACTTGTGAACTTGGATAAATTATGTAAACCCTATGAATCTCTATTTCATCATGAATAAATAGTGAATGTATCAAAACTATCTCACGATGTTGCTGTATTAATGACAACTTATGCAAAATTTTTTTAAATATTAGTTGTTTTGGAATAAAAGATTAACTCAACAGGAAAATTACTGAGATTGTAAAAGGTTACTAACAAGGGTATCTGCACTTTAACATGACACCAATATTTCAGTACATGGAATGACATAACACTGGTGGAATTTCAGGTATCCACTCTCTTCACACTTTGACCTAGAGCCTCCTGAACCTCCCACCACTTCCCACCACAGAAATCTCTTTTTCTCATCTCTGTCACTCCCTACTATCTTTCTTCTCTCCTATGTCATTTTCTCTTGGCTCCTTATTTTTATGCTCATTTCTTCTCTATTCTTTTCTCTCTTGCATGTAAAATATCTTGTCCATGATACCAATCAGCTTTACGAGACTCTTGGTGGAGCTGATGAGATGTTGATGCTTCCCTTGACTCAGTCAGTGCCACTGAAATGATTTTGTCTTTTTTTCAAGTAGGTGAATGGCACCCATATCTCACACTCTGCTTGCTCCATATAAGTACCTCTGTTCGTCATCTCTTTATTTGCTCTTAGTATCATAAAAGGGTTATGTAAAAGAACTTTGAAATGGGCCCTGAGAGGTGAGGGTCACAGGTGATTTGTAGAAGAGCAGGAGTGAACTCTTGTCCTCAGCCTTTGGGTCCATATACATAGCACCATGTTAGGAATCACTGACTTTAGAAAAGGTGATGTTATTTAGAATTAAGTCTTCTATCACTCTCAGGGTTGCCTAGAACCCAGTCCCTCTCCAAAAATGGCCACGATACTTACTTCCCAACCTCATTTCTTTGGAAAGTTGTGGTGTAGATCAGTACTTACTCCCTCCTGCAAAACTATCAAACACATTGAACTAGAAAGAGCCCCAAGAGATCCCCAAGTCCAACTCCCAAACAAGGAAGGTGAGGTGCTAAAACCCGGAGACCTACCAAAGGCTATTTTCTACTCACCAACTGCTCTCCCAGGAACAGGATGGGCTCCATGACCTGAGAGCTATCACAGACAATTGTATTGGTCTTCCTTTCCCCTTTTTCCCTCCTACCCTAAGTCTCTGCCTTTCCATAGTACCTTCCTCAGAGCCCTTTTCACATCCTTGGTGTAAATCAGAGGATTGAGCATGGGGGTAATTATAGTATAAAAAAGGGCAACAAACTTTCCCTCACTCTGAGAATAACTATGCATGGGTTGGAGGTAGGTGTAAATCCCTGAGCCATAAAAAAGGCAAACCACCAAGAGGTGGGACCCACAAGTCCCAAAAGCCTTTCTGCGTCCAGCAGTTGAGTTGATTCTCAGCACTGCCTGAGCAATGACTACATAGGAGCCTAGAATTAGTGCTGCAGGAACCACCAAGATGATCACTCGGGCCACAAACATCTTGACTTCTGTCCCTTGTGTGTCCTCACAAGCCATCTTCAGGAGCACAGGCATCTCACAAAAGAAGTGGTTCAGGTAATGGAGCCCACAGAGGGGCATGGCCATCAAGAGGCCTGCCTGAACCGCAGAGTTCATGAAACCTCCCACCCAGGAGGTGGCAGCCAGTGTCTGGCAGAGACAGGGGTGCATAATAGCCATGTAGTGGAGAGGTCGACAGACAGCAGCATAGCGGTCAAAGGCCATCACCACCAGGAGCACAGACTCAGTGGAGCCCAGGGCAAGGAAGATAAAGAGCTGGGCCATACACCCTCCATAAGTGATGGTCTGGTCAGATCCATGAAGGTTGATCAGAAGCTGGGGCACAGTGCTGGTGGTGCAGCAGAGGTCCAGGAAAGAGAGATGACAGAGGAAAAAGTACATGGGTGTGTGCAACCGATGATCCAGGTGGGAGACCGCGATGATGGTGGTATTGCCAAAGAGCGTTAGGGAGTAGAAAATTGAAATAAAGACAAAAAGGGCAAGTTCCAGTTGAGGCCAGTCTGAGAAGCCCACCAAAATGAAGTCTTCTCTGAAACTAGTGTTGAAATTTCCTGTTATGGATTGAATTTTAAGAAAATAAACTGTGAGAAAATTAATTTCTGTTTGTTAAAACCATTCACTTCTGATATTTCTGTTATAGCAGCACTAGGTAACTAAGACTTTTCCCATAGCCTTTCACCTGTCCAAATAGCAAAAGACAAGTTATTGACTCTTATAAAGAATATGGGCCTGCACAGCACAAACTGTTAAGTGCTCAGCTACTAACTGAAAGGTTGGAGGTTTGAATCCACCCAGAGGCACCTGGGAAGAAAGGTCTGGCAATCTACTTCTGAAAGATCACAACCATTGAAAACGCTATGGAACACAGTTCTACTGTGAAACACGTGGGCTGCTCACAGGTCAGAATTGACTCTACAGAATCGGTTTGGTTTGGTTTGGTTTATGAAGAACACAGATTAATACATTATTTCACAGTATTCCCTAAATACTCCTAAATCATATGTTTTATTATCTACTTTGCTATTCAGTCCTGTTCTGTCCAGTCTTCACCTTTTCTTATTCTTCTCAGGTGGAGATCACTAGATTAGGAATAAAGTGACCTTCATTTGAACCCTATTCTTGCTGCTTGGAACCCTATTCTTGCTGTCTGCTTGTTTCATGAGTTCAGCCACACCCCTTAATACCCTGGATCGGGTGTTTCCTTGTTCTAAAGTAGAGATGATGTATTGTCTCCCTTTAGGCATTGTGGTAAGGACACAAATACGAAAGCTGCTTTTAAAAATCTAAGGTATAAAGATGTAGCATTTGTATTCTATGTAGTTCTCTTTTGCTCTTTTTCTTGATCTATTAGGTAGCATGTTTCAGTACTTTAGAACCTTGGATAATGAGGCTGAGATCTCAACATTGATCTCTGGGAGCTTATTTGCTTCCTTCTGCTCAATGAATATGATCAGCTCACCCTTCCTGGAAGCCCTACTCAAGACCAGCTGCCACTTGTCAAAAAGGACAGGTAAGAGTGTAGATCCACCCATTTGGGGGAAAAGAAAGATTAGAAACGAATAACCTCCTAATTATAAGTCACATGCCTGGAATACACTCCCACTTCTCCGACTAATAAATCCATTCCTCAATTCTCCAGGAAGAGTTGGTTGTTCCCTCCTTCTAGCCCAATCCTCTTTGTATAGTTTCTCTCTAGCAGCTATAACACTACATTGAAATTCTTTTTACATGTCTTTGTCCCTCTCTGAACTATTATTTCCTCAGTGGTAGGGAACATAGTGAATACAGAAATAAATATTAGTGTCTTCCTTTATGGTACACAAGAGGTAATAAATTAATGTTACTTTCATTCAAGGCATATAACCAAACCAAACCAAATCCATTGCCATCAAGTTGATTCCGACTCATAGCAACCCTATAGGACAGAGTATAACTGTCCCATGGGGTTTCCAAGGAGCAGCGGGTGAATTCAAGCTGCCAAACTTTGTTTTAGCAGCCAAGTTCTTAATCATTGCACCACCAAGGCTCCTCATGGCACATAGTAAATGTTAAATAAATTTTGTTGAATAAGAAGATTTTACTCTCCCTTCAAATCTCCAGGAAATGTATTTCTTCTAAGTAACATACAGATTAATTACTGATACACATTGACAAATTATGGAAGTGGGATATGCACAAAAATTTGCTCTTTTAAGATTGATTTTTTTGTAGTAAAAATCTAAAAAGAACTATAAAGAGTATGTCAGCAAGAAAAAAGGAAACAGGTGATCACCCATAGCCTGGCATATGATCAATTAAAATAATTTTTAGCTTTCCGTTCACTGTCATGGAAAATTTGGCAGTGGATATTGGTGATGGTTGTATAACGTGATTAATCTGATTAGTGTTACTAAATAGTACCCGTGAAAAATCTTGGATTGGCAGATGTTGTGCTATGTATGTCTTTGTATATAAAAAACAAAAATAAATAAACTTTTTAAATAAGAATTTTTGGCAAATTAACTCATTTTTCTTTTTGTTAATTTTACTGAACTGGAAGACCATCATCAAAGAATCAATGCTGAATCAATAATTCCAGCAAGGTATTTGGATGCCACTCTTGTGCTTTTGTGGAAAAGATCGATTAAAATGTGAATTAATAATAGCAAAGTGTTAATTTACAGGTAGCCTAACCAATACATCAAAGCTATTTTCTAAATGGCCACCATAGTAAAATGCAATGGCCTTGGAGTCCCTACATCAGAGTCCCACAGATCTGCTCGAACACTGACCAGCCGTGCACCTATTCAGGAAATTCACTTCTGTGAGTCTCGGATTACCCAGTTGTAAAACAGAAATAATAACTTGCTTCACTGTATTTTAATGGGAATTAAATGATATGATGCATTCTGTAAATTGCAAGGAATATGCTATACACACTTTGAATACTTATCTGTCTCCACCACTAATCTATAAGTTTCATGCAACTGCATCTACTTTTCTTCATCATTGTCTCTTCATCTCCCAGTGCAGTCTTCAGTGAATTAAATTCTTTCAATAAATATCTGAGTTGGCATTATGCCTGGTACACATCAATGTTCCAGAAATATTTATCTTTTGTGCAACATGCAAAGAATTACCTCATCTGCAATGCTGCTTCTTGTTTAGCAGCACAAGGTTTTTAACTTAGCCCTGCTCTATGTTTTTATCAAGAATTTTTATAATGCCATAGAGGTGTTCTTAGTATATTTGTAATTCAACGAAAGTTTAGAAATATAATTAATATGATAAATGATAGAACCATAATCTAAGATCTCAATATTATTAAACAAAGAGCTTTAAACAAATAAGATGCTATAGAACAGAGATAACTGAACTTAGCTTCAAAACCTCAATTGTACAAAAGAGTACAAATTGTACAAGGAGACTTAACTTGACAATCATTCATTAAAAGGTGGAACATAGAGATGACCAGGGGTTGTGCTAACCAAAACACTTAACACAAATCAATCATGCCTACTTGACTCTTGACTTTTACCAAATGTAAGCTCAAACTGCATAAAAATACTAGACCTTGAGCTCTCTAGTTTGGAAGGAAACCTAAACATCATTTCCTATAGCCCCTTGCACCATTTGATGCATGGCTCCCCAGTATAGCATTCTAAACCAAGAGCTTGTGTAAAGAAGCACCTGCTTCATCTCCTCATCCTTTAATATCTATAGTTTTTTGCATCTTTATTTTCCTATATCTATCAGCTCCCTATTTCCATATTTATGTGTCTTGAATTCCTTTGTCCATTATGTGTTATTTTCTTTCTAATATTCTTAACTTATTATCACTCTGGCCCATGCACCCCTTTCTGGAAGAATGCAATTCTCTATAGTTTCCATAAATAAATTAAGGTTATAAGTTTTGCTGAAAAGAATGATGCAAGTGTCCAATTCAATGTTACTAAAACTTTATGTTCTTGATAATGTATCTTCTTAAAATTGTGGTACAAATATACGCAACAAAACATTTGCCAATTCAACAATTTTACACGTATAATTCAGTGACACTGTTAAATAATGTATCTTTAACATCCTCTTTTTCTACTGGCTCTTTCCCAAAACATGTGACATGTGAAAAAGCCCCTCCAATTGAAAATTAATCTCCTTTCACGCTATGTCCCTTTCCAGCTACTGTGCTATGTCTTTCCTCCTGTTGTAGACAAATTTATTGAAAGAGTTGTCTGTGCTCAATGTTTCAACATCGTCCCCTCCCACTCACTCTCCAACCTACTGCTATGTGGATTTGGGCCTCACAACTCCTTATGGAAACATACAGTGGACATTCTTCAGTTCTCATCTTTGTTACAGCATTTTATCTGTTGACTGTTGCCTCTTTCAACACAAAGCTCTTCCCTTCCCTTCCTGGATTTCTTTCTGCTTCTCTGGCCATTCATCAGTCTCTTTGGTGTGCTCCTTTGTCTCTGTGCAGCCCTTACATGTTGGGGTTCCTCCTCAGGGCTCCACCAGAACCTATTACCATTCAATACTCTTCCTGTAAAATGCCATCCACTCCAGGGCTTGAATCACAAGCCATTGTGCTGATAACACCCAAATGTATCTCTCCACCCACAATCTCTCTTCTGAACTTCAAACTTCTATAATCCATCTTCTTGCATTCATCTGCACTTGGATATACCCTAGGCATGTCAAACTCAGCAGGTCTAATACTGAACTCATCATCTTCCCCCTACAAAACTGCTTCTCATCTTGTGTTCCCTATCCCAGGGTAGGCATCACCAAGCTACACAGTTCATCAAACCAGAAAATGGGCCATCAGCCTCTACTCCTTCACTTTGCATTTAGGTCAAAGCTTAGATGTCACTTCCTCTAGGGCAGTGGTTCTCAACTGGGGCAACTTTTTCTCAGAAGGCATTTTGTAATGTGTGGAGAAATTCTTGGTTGATAAAACTGCAGGAGGTTTGGGTAAAGTTACTGGCATCTAGTGGGTAGAGGCCAGGGATGCTGGTAAACGTCCTACAATGCACAGGATATTACACACACACATACACACACACACACACACACACACACGAATATTCTGGTCCCAAATAATTATCTCTCTATCCCACCATACAAGAGCTTTCAGAGAGCAGAGCTGTGACTATCTTGCTCATGATTGTAGCTTTAGCGCCTAGAATAATGGCTGGCACATAAAAGTACGAAATAATTAAGTCCCTGATGCCTGCAGGCACCCACCTGCACCAGCTCTTTAACCAGTCCTTAGAAAGGCATGAAGTCTTGCAGCAGTTTCAGTCTCATTCAGAAAGTAGGATGTGGAGGTAGTCCTGCTTCCTTGGGATCTGGTGCCTTTTATCTGATATCTGGTGTGTCAGGAGAGAGTCTCAATACCCACGTAGCTTCTAGCTTAAAGTTTTTTCTATCCCTGCTTCATCATATTGACTTTCTCCTGTCCAACCAAGGCCTGTCCTCTTACGAGATGACTTCCTCTGGGGATGTGTCCTGCTTCATAATCCCCAGCCATTGGCCAGGGTCCTGGTGAGAATGGGCTGATCTCCCAGAACCACAGCATCCATGTCTGTCTGAAGTGTCACATTTCACCTCTCACGAGACTGATGCCAATGACTCCCTGTATTCAGCACAGCTGCCATGCTCTCCAGAATTGGCCATGTATGTATCTGTCACTCAAGAACCAGTTGCTGCAGTTCTGATACTTTTCCAATCCCTCAAGGAGCTTTCCTTTATTCACTCTTCCTATGATCTCAATTACTGAGTTCTTACTCATGCTCACATATGGTAATCATAAAAAGAAACACTCTTCTTAAATCCTTCCTGAACAGGAAACTCACAAACTCCCTGGGAGACCTTTCCATCTTTCAATAGCAATTGCAAGTTACTCCTCACATAGACCCAAAAGTGGACCTCTTGTAAATCCGCACATTATTCCTAGTTCTATATCTCATAATCCCAGTGATTTTGGTCATAAAGCAAGCCCTTCCCTGGTCAAACGGCTCAGGAATTGGGCAACATTTACTTATTATGTGAAGAGTTCCATTGCATGCAACTGAGCAGGGGTGAGGGGAGGACGGAGGTCTCATTTAGGGGAGCACACACAAAAAAAAAACCTCCATCCAACTGACAACCCTCCAAATATCTAAAGGAAATTATCATGACATGCAATCTCACTGAATTTCATATTCCTCAACTGAAAGCAATAGACTCAAAATGTTCGTAATCTTTCACATTTCCCAAATCTATCCTTCCAGTAAAAGAAGAAAATGAAGTTAGACAAATATAACTGCTTCCTAATGACCTCATGTTTTTATCTCAACCCTACAGATGTTCACAAATAATCCCTATACCATTTCACACTCAAATATAAGTACAGTGCCCAACACTCTGCATTGGTCAGATACAATTTTGAGTATTTTGCAGGTTCTTGGCAGCAGACTTGGATGAAAACCTTGAAGAATGCATAGACTCCAGAAAACAACAAAACCTATAAGGTATCTGGAAATATCTCACATGAGAAGTAGATTTTTTTATTGTGTTTTTTAGATTGGAAATGACAATGTTTAAAAACAAACATGATAATTCTGATACATGTTTAAAGATCTGTCGTATGGGAAAGGTGGTAAACTTGCTTTGTTCACCCCCAAAGGCCATAATTAGGACCAATTGGTGGAACTTACAGGAGGACAGATTGTGACTCAATATAAAGAAAACTTTTTTTTAAAAAAATGAAACAGTCTAAAAATAGACTGCTTGGAAGTGAAGGGATATTCTTGTGACTTGAAGGTTTCCTGCACATTCAGAGGCTGAAAGTTAACTATTCAAGATGTTGTAAAAATGTTCCTGCATTAACTGGAGATTGAGTTGAATGGTTTTGGTACCCAATCCAGCCCTAATCTTCTGTATTTTTCTAATCTTAAATTTTTTAAGATTAAAATGTAACTGCTACTCCTAAACCCCTTGGCACATACAAATCATTTTGAAACTTGCATATGTAAGAGGGTTGAGTTTCTGCATGACAAAGGTCATTGTTTGTGTTAATCTCTGTGTTTGTTTGTGTCTGTGTGTATGTGCATCTGTGGGTCTGTGCATGATCTCTATGAATTATAAACTTCTTGAGACCAGAAATCATATGTTAAAATATGTTTCTACAGCGTGCAGTAGTACTCCCTTCTTACCAGTCCCCTAATTTAATGATACTGTTTGACTAGAATGGAGCCACAATTCAAGTCAGAAAACTTAATCTTCTACTCTGAGCGAAGGAGGAGATTTCGCAAACTCTTTTATAATCACTTTCATTGTTAGAATACCAAACCATATATTTGAATCAAATTTCACTTCCTTATATTGCCTTCATGTGTAGTTCGGTTATTAGTTTTTGGAAAATTATACTCACTATCAAACCTTGGCCCAAAGCATCCTTCTATCCATTCTTCATCACAGAGTCACACCTTCTACAGACCCAATCATTCTCTCATCCTGACCCTACTCCTCTCACATACGATATCCTGCCCCATTCCATGAGTCTTTAGGGTGATCTGAAGACTCTTTTACAAATCCTCAATAATAATCCATTAAATTTTTCTATTATAAGACCAGAGAACCACAATTTAAGTCCAGTCACCTCAATTGATATTCAAAGGATATTCAAAAGATATTCAATTCATATTCTTTCAACTGTGACTCCTCACGTAGAACACTGTCTCCAAATAGGATGGATTCCTTCCTGTTGTATACTCCTCTAAGATGTCTTCTTTGATTTATCTTCAATAACTCTGATCATATCCCTATTCTTTGTCTCCTAGATCTGATGTATACAGTTTACTTTGCCTGTTAGAGCTATCGGCACCCAGGAGTTGAGTTTTGGAAGGGGCCTTCAAAATTACTTTAAGCCAACTCTCACACTTTCAATAAAGAAATCGGAAGTCCTGTAACTGTTCAATAATTTCCCCTGGGTTCATGCAGTTGGAGAGAAAGGGATGCAGATGAGAATACTTTTTGACCTGCTGTGCGTAGTTGGTGGGTGGGTGGTGGAAACAGAAAGACTGTCAGTGATAAAATGTATTCCTACATGAATTTAACATCTCTATGTCCTCAAACAGGGGACCTTACACAATGGAACCCAGGGCTAATTGTCGAATGGAATATTTCTGAAGTTTTCTGGTTTGTGACTGTGAAGTCAAAGGAGCCCACCCTGTCCACACTCACCCCAAAGTTCCAGGAAAGAAAATTACCTCACTTACCTCTCTCAGTCCTACTGCCTTCAAAGGCAATTTGAGACTGGTTGCATCTAGAGATGTCTGAGGAGGACATGTTCTTTTTTGGTCCTGACTTCATCTGTAGGGTGAAGGGCTCTGATCAGAACTCCTTTCTTGAAGAACTCATGATTGCACATTGTTGCCTCTTTCAGCAGGGGAGACTGATGAGACCCATAGTTCTGGAGGTGGGACCATCTTTCCCACTGCACCTCCACACACTTACCCTAGCTAACTCTGACCAGGACAGAGCTAGTATATTATCATACCACCTCCTGACCCAGGGCTGGCTCAGTTTCTTCCCCAAGGGCATTGCCAATGCTTCCTTTAGAGCAGTAGAGGGAGAATTGTTTACCAGCTGAGGTCTTAGAGACCTCTGGGTCCCAATGTGGCAATTATAATCAACTGACTGGCCCCAAGATCTGCCTTGCAGTCCTCAATTCTCTCTACTCCCCTTACTCAAAGCATCTCCCCATCCAAACTGATCTATGTAGTGTAGTCAGAGTACACCTTTTCGTTTGGCTCATGCTATTTCACAGCCTGGGAATTCTTCCCACTTCTCCTACTTTGATCCAAATCCTACCCAACCTTCAACAATCAGACCAGATCCCACATCTCAGTTGAAGCCTACCTAGCTCCTACATACTTCAAATATCTTCCTTCTCTGAATTCCTTATATGTTGCTCACATATTCTCATATATTTGTATCACTGATACAACTAATTAATAAAGTCCTTGATGACAAGTTTGATGTTTCATATTTCTCTGTCTCTATCACAATATTTAATGTATTAATATTTTTATTCCTTTCTACCCTCTTTTAACCCACAAGAATTTAAAAAGAAGATTTCTTCATTTATCAATTCATTCAAAAATTGTTTATTGAGTGTAATGCAATTGATTGCTTTTATATGGCTTTTCTCGCCGTGGTCTTCTAACTCCAGCCCAGGTGATTGAGTGGGAGTATACTAATAAGTTAATTGTGGCCCATCAAGGGGATTGGGCAGCTTGCTAATAATGCAAATAAAGATCATGGCATCCATGTGGGGGTGGGACCATGCAAATAAGGTCTATGGAACCCTAACAAAAGGATTTGTCAGTTTTGCCATCCTGCTAGGCTTAAAATGAGCCATTCCAGAGGCAGGAAGAGAGGATCTCAGTGCCAAAAAGAAGAAGAGCCAGGAGAGGAGTGCATCCTTTGGACTCAGGATCCCTGCGCTGAGAAGCTAGTGGAACCAGGGGACCAAAAGAGAGAGAGAGAGAAGTGTAACACCTACAACTGTGAGGTTTTTTTTTTTTTGCCAATATTTAAAAATCAGTAGAATTCACACGAAAATCTGGAAGTTCATCTTTTTCTGTATTGAAAATACACTGGTAATGAGAACATTGATCAAATGGAACTCGTAGATTATAACCATTAAATCAAATTTATTTCTGTTTATCACTATCCCTCTAAACTAGATCAATGAAAATAGTCCTTTCCCTTGCCTGGGATGAAACTTAAGCAGCCTTCACAACTTTTTTTCCATCACCTTTAGGTAACAGAATGTCCTGTGGTCACTTAAAGGCCCTGAACACAGTTTCAGTTGAGTAATTTAAACTTTCCACTTCCATATAATAGTCAGTGCTTGTCACTTCATTCAAACCAAAAAAACAAACCCACTGCCATTGAGTCGATTCCGACTCATAATGACTTTACAGGACTGAATGGAACTACCACTTAGGGTTTCCAAGGCTGTAAATCTTTACAGAAGCAGACTGCCACATCTTTCTCCCACAGAGCAGCTGGTAGAACTTTTGGATAGCAGCCAAATACTTTAACCACTGCACCACCCAGGGTCTTAATTCAAAAGTAAGTGTTTTTCCCTCCTCCCTCAGATAGGCCCTTTTGCAAGCAGCCTGCCTGTCTCTTGAAAAAGGGAGTAGGGGCTTCTTTCTCTTCATTATCACTTCATCTTTTACACCCCCTCCCTGTTGTTGCCTCTGACACCTTCGGGTGGGAAGAAGGTTAGGAGGAGAGGGTAAGGGAAGCAGGAAAGTCCTTTCCTGACAGGAACTGGTGTCTGATTAAACCTGGCTCTTTTTCTCATGGGACACTTTCAAGAGCGCCTTAGAGATTGCTCCACCACTCCTGATCTGCACCCACAGTTCCTCTGACACAGAAAATTCCTATACTACAGTGTCCTCCCTCCTCAGTCCTTAGAAATCTGACGGTTCACTCCAGATTCTCATCTACAGAGGCCTGTTTTCACCCTTCTAGGACAGACCGTAAGAAAAACCCTACCCCTGCTCTCTCAAATATGGTGATTATCTGGTGCCTGGGAAACAGCCACACACTTTGCCAGGACAAACCCTGGGAGTTCAAGCCTATCACAAGGTAGAAGCAACTCACCTTTACTCTTCCAATCCCCTTATCTTCTGACTGTAGGCACAAGATCAGATTCTTAACATGGTCCCATTGATGTCTTTCTCTCCCTCTTTGGATGAGACTCTGGGCACAAATCTCTAAAAAATAATTCCATGTACAAATCCTCTCTACATCTCCGCTCTCCAATTCTTTATAAGCTTGGGATGGGTGAGTGGATTCAAGAGTCACCTACTTTGAAGTTCTTTCATAGAGAACACTTTAGAATGTTGTCCCCCTGCCTCAACTACAACTTCTCGAAGTAGGCAGAGCCCATATAACTACGTTCATGACAAAGTGAAATTTCAAATAATTTGATTATTTACCCAAAACTTCCAAAAAGTGAGAGAAAAGCCGAGACTCTGACTGAAGTCTTCCAATCACACTAATCACTGTGATATCCCTCTGGAGAGAATAAGCAAAATCAATCACAGACTCCAAGAAGTGAGGTGACCTTTAACATGTCTTCCTTCACCTAGAGAATGTCTCAGTCACCCATTATGGATGTCTAACACCACACAGGAGATCCAAGTCAACCAGTCAGAGTCTCTCCGTTGGAGTCTCCGTTTCTAAGGACAAAGAAACCGCTGGCCCTGGGACACTATCATCTCTCCTTCCCTACCCTGACAAGTGCAGGGGAGCTTAAAGAAGTTTGGAGGGTGGAGTTGATTCCTTAGTGCAGCAACGCAACTGAGAGGAGAACTCACTCTAGCTCTTACTCACATGGCCTCCCGACACTCCAACTGTATTGGCTAAGTCTATAAATGTGACCTAAAAGAATACATAAAAAGGAAATCTCAGTGGATCTGCCAATGCCAAAGAAAGAGGGAATTAGCAAACCTGGATAAGAGAGTTCTATGTGAAAAAAGGGAAGATGTTAGTAAAAATGAAACAGACTGCAGGAACAGAAACCCCACAAATTTCAGGGGCTTTACCTAATAAAACTTTATTTTTCACTCTTATTTCAGTCCAATGTATGTCAGTTGGAGGTTTTCTTCTGTTCTCTCACTCATGACCCAGACTCCTTCCTTCTTGTGGCTTCACTCATCCATAGGTCCTCTTTAATCTGCTGATGGGTGGAAAGGAGAGCAAGAACCATTCCTGTGTGGACTGATAAACCAGGTCTGGAAGTGGCTCACATCACTTCTACCCACACTCCTTCAGCCTGAACTCAGTCATATGGCCATATGCAATTGCTAGAGGCTGTGAAATGTAGTCTGACTGTGCCATAAGAAGGGAGCACAGGTATTGGTGAACATTATCAGTTTGTGACATTAAGAAAAATTTATGAAGGAATAGTCAAACCTGAAGCAAAGCTGGGAAGTGGGGAAACTGGAATATAGGTGCAATTCTTTTGGTGCCACACACTTCCAGAAGAATTTGCCAATAAGGTTGGTTTGAGAAGGCACAAAGGCAAGGAAACATAAAACCAAAGTAGACTGTGTCCTACCCATTTGGAGTGTTTCTATTCCTCTGGTAGAGATGGTGTACCAGTCAGGATCCCAGCAGTAAATACACACTAGAATGGGGCAAGTCAGGAGACTTTAATGAAGAGACGATTTACAAGGTATGGGCAGGATGAGGAAAACCACCAAGGGATGATGGTTTTCCCTGGGACTATTAATAGTGGGGAGACAAGGGACAAGGGGAGATAGTAGTAATCAGAACTTGAAGAGAGCTGTAAGAGAAAGATATCTTACAGGAACTGAGGCTTTGGGTAGAGGGACACACCAAGTCTGCAGTGACACCACAAGGAGAAATCTAAGGAATGACCTCACCTCTTTCTCATCCCTACCTTCAGTCACTTCCTGGTCCTCCCATTGACTGAAACCAACTGGAAGCCAGAGAGCAAGGGAGCCCATTGAAACAGTCCATACAGGTCAGCCTCTTATGTCACAGAACAGGGTGGAGAAGAGAGGGAAGTAGTCCTGGAGGGGCAGAGAGATGGGTTTGGAAAGCTACTGGGTGTATACATGGACTAATAAGTTGATTCCTCTCCCTTTTACCCAAAGGCATTCAACCCATAGACCATGAGCCTCCCAAATAACTCCAGTTTATCTATTTGCAGTTACAAACAGATGTCTTAAAATTCTATTGATTATCAAACTTTGAGAGGTAAGGAGAGAAAGCAAGAATGCCTACGAACTGAGAATTTAAAAAAATATTGTTTATAATTATTTTTCCTAGAAATAACCTAAGTAAGGGTCACACTGACTATGCATAAATTTATATACTGAGCATATTTGGTTTAGAGTATTTAATAAATAAAAAGAATATCATATATGTCATCATAAACAGACTTTGAGATAGTTATAATTCATAAAATCACATGCACATGAGGCAACTGAAAATATTATAGTCCAGGTCAAGTGTACCCCAGTCCTCAATGTAACATTCCTGAATTTTTAACATTTCAAAACAGTCTTTTGCAGCATATTTGTCCAAATGCAACATGTCATTTGATCTTCTGACTGCTGCTTCCAGGGGCACTGAGTGTGGATTCAAGAAAAATGAAATCAAACTATAAATAGCAACAGAACATTGTGAAAAGGTAGCTGGACACTATTTGGTGTATTCACCATCCCATAGTTTTAGCATCTTGCTTCTGTGGTTTTATTACTTTAGAGTTAGTGCAGGGCAGGCCACCTTAGAAG